AAGGCTGTTGAGCTCAGGGGCCGGGGGTGTAAAGGGAGAAGGAGAATTTCCACCCATGGAGAAATGCCCGCGGGCGCTGGAGAGCTTCAGTGTTCAAGTGGAACTATTGCCTTTAGTTCAGCTTCAATTATGCCTCACCTGAGCATGAAATGCATTGGTTCTACTGCTGAATACAGACAATGGTATCAGATCACACCTGTCTAGAGGGGATTCAAACACTCTATAAAAACTCCATGTGGTTGAGAAGGAAGGGAGGGAGGGGATCGGGGGAGAGGAGTGGTAGAGGGGGAGGGGAATGAGTAGGGTAGAAGGGAATGATGGAGGGAAGATAGAAAGTTGGAGGGGGAGTGGAAGAAAGAGGTGTACGGAGAGTGGAAGAGGTATATTGGGGTTCTATTTTGGGGGGTATTGTTGACAAGAGGAATTGCTGTGATTATTGTTTAATGTTGTATGGCTCTGGCTATGCACAGTATATATGTGAGTGTATGAAAATGAAAAAATGGGAAATAAAAACCCTTTTCAACGGGAATAAATGATCACAGCTTGATATGACTGTTCCAAGTGTTCCGTATTGAAAACAAAATGCTTCTGTTCCAATTGTTTTAAGCTTGGAAGAAAGCCTGCTTATTCCACACTTACATCAACAAATCTTGATTGTTTCAAACAATGTTTTTTCAAGTATTGTCCCAAGACTGTGACTTCATTTTCTAGTTTATAATGAACTTTATTTTATTTTTAAACTTTTTAGCCTAGCCAATACAATAGCAGTAACATGTTATCTTCATTTCCATTGGCATAGAGTATATTTTGATTTAGGCTGATTTGCATCCATGAATCCATATTTTATATGTATGTGTGTGTGTACATATGTGTGAATTGAACATATATGTTGAAGAAAAATCTGATAGCATTGAAAGAGACCAGTTTGTTTCTTACAGAAGAACTAGCACACTAATTCAAAACAGACATCAGAGGAATTAAAATCATACATAAACTGAGATTGTTTCTAAATTGGGAGAATTAAAATCATACAGTAAACATAAAAAGCACTGGAGCAAGTTTCAGGGAAAATAATACAGTATGATTTGATACAGTAGTTGTAAAGTCTGAGTAGAAAAGATGAGGAAAGAGAAATCTAGAAATGAAAACTAAGAATGAAGAATTATTCTGGATTATTATTTGGAAATGATTCCTAAAGGCTGGCACTGTAAAATAATGTCAGATGCAATATTTGAGAGGTCTTTTAGAATTTTGTTCTGGGATGAGAACAAGAAAAATATTCTCTGATCTACATTGACCAACAAAGGATAACATTCATAACTCAGAGTTGAAATGAAGGGTCCTTGGTGCTCTCTGAGCTTGATTGATTTCTTTCAATGTTGTTTCATTACCCAAACTAGGTAAAGATTATCAGTGCTAATAAAGAATGGGTTGTTCTCAATTTATATATTAGCAGTTTGTCCTTGATTGGGTATTGTTTAGTTCTTGATTGTTGGTCTGATCTTCATTGAATTTGGAATCATAAACACGAACAGCATTTTTACTCTTCTATTCAGTACATTTTCCATTCTAACGGTTTAGTCACCAAAAGAGATGCTTAAATGCAGTTGAGTGACGTCCAATTTTATCACTTGGCAAGAAACACTGGACGAGTTTGCACTAAACAATAAGAAGCCTGTTAGCTCCTTTTTTGGAACAGAGAAATGCATCTGTAATGTTGTGTTAGTGTGTTAAAGTTGATGGTTGCTGCATTCCTTGTAAGCCAGAACTGCAACATGGCTTTATTTTTGTCTTATGTTTCCTGACCTATTTGAAAGCATCAGGCCATTGATTTATTTAGAAGTTAAAATAGCAACAAGCTCGAAAGCTGAAGCAAATTAAAAAAAAAAAAACCTCAGAGTTTTTACTTTATTTGCATGTTTTGAGTTGCTAAGCTGACAGAAGGAAAATAGCTAAGGATAAAGACAAGAAAGATACAGTTTACCCAGCATAAATTAGAGCAAAATTTTAGTTAACATCTTCTTTGAATATAAGTTGCAGTGATCTTTAAATCTAAAATGGTGGGTTCCTACTGGTTCAGACTGGTTCGACCAAACTGTGGTTAGGTGACCTGGAATCAGCAATGACTCAGGCCTGCGATGCCCCCAAATTGATTCCTCGGGATGGCGTGGGCGACGGTGCCATCTTGTTTTTCAGTTCTGCGCATGCGCAGAACAATTGTAATTGCATTTATGGGCAAATGTGCATGCACACTTGTGCACGCATGCAAAATTGCACACACACCGAACAGGCTGTAATGCTGGCAGCAACCCATCTCTGTCTACATCCCAATGGTGTTTGTGTGTGTAAACATGTTGTGACTATTTACATATGTTGGCACCCTATTCTGTTCCACCAAGATTGAAAAAGAAAAGACACAGTCATTTTATTTTGGTCGTTGATTAAAAAATCTTTGAAAAAAGAAAGAGTGAGGGGAAAATAAAAGAAATTGTGGCAGTAATAGAAATCTTGCTCCATATTCTCCCTTAATTGTTTTCATCTCCCCAGTAGAAGAGTCAGCTGAAGCTTGGGAAGTTGATACTGTAATGCAGTGTTTCTCAACCTTGGCAACCTGAAGATGTCCGGACTTCAACTCCCAGGATTCCCCAGCCAGCATTCGCTGGCTGGGGAATTCTGGGAGTTAAAATCCGGACATCTTCAAGTTGCCAAGGTTGAGAAACACTGCTGTAATGTTTTAATTTGCAACTGGATCTGAAGGGACCTTTAAAAAAATGGAACTGCAAAATGTGGACATGGTTATCTTTTAACAGTTCCTCCCAATATTATTGGAATTAACCCCGAGAACCTAACTGTTGTGGTGAATAACTCCATCTCGTTGACATGTGAAGTCGCTGGCTTCCCACCTCCTGATCTCAGTTGGCTCAAGGATGGAAAATCTCTCAGCTTGAACACAAATGTTCTCATTGTTCCTGGTAAGTGATCTCTGGGTGTGTTGTTTTTATAGAGTAGTTCATTTCTTTCAATATTTTCAATATTTCAACAAGGGTGATAGAAGAAATAGAGCAACATGCGTGTGTGAATATAAAAATAATTTCATGTTGTTTTTTTCATAGAATGTTGCAATCATTTAGAATGATCAATTATCAATTATCTCATTCACTTACCGAGGAATAGTTAATTGTGATTTGTTTAGCTTAGGCTGTTCTAAGAAAATTCCAAATTTAGTCTTCAAGGTACAAAAAAAATTGGTGGCACTGTTTCCAGTGTTCTTTGAAGGTTTTTGNCTGCACCCTAACCACTGCGCCACCTCGGCTCTTCAATAAAACCCAGTTTTTAGTTTTTAAACATTTTATCGTCTAGCCAGTTTATCTCATTCACTGTAGTTTCTCTAGTATCTTTTGTTAGTATTTTCCCCCGCAAAAGACAATATCCGCATATTGGTTAGTCCTGTTTCATTATTCCTGTTACTCTTTGTGCTGCAAATACGTCGTCTGTTTAAAAATCTTGAGATCACCAAAAATATAGGGTAGATTTATGCCGCGAAGACATTAAACCAACACAGAATAGAGGTTATAGTCAAGTAATCAATTTCAAAGAGTAAAGCATTATATATTAATATAAATTAATATGTTTACTTATTTGCCAAGTGAAAATTTAACAATGTGTATATGATGTCAATTAAAAAAAACCAAGATATTTGATTTTTACAGTGTATCCTTTTCTTTTTTTATAGATTCACAATACTCAAATAGCAAATATAGGCAGGTATGTCTGCCTTGTGGAGAACATAGCAGGACGTGCAAAAAGATATTTTAATCTTAACGTCCATGGTAAGATTGTTATTTTCTAAAGTAATGATTCATATAATGGCCAGCTCAAAAAAATATTCTGCACTTGACTCTTATATAAACTTTGCAAAAGGACAAATCGCCATCACAGTTCTTTTATATGTTCAAATATTAAATATTTTTGCACGTTCCATATGTATGCTGACTATATAAATATTTACTGCTGCTAGAAAGTATAAAAAAATTCCTATTCTGACTTAACGCCAAACCTTAGGATATTTTTAAAATCTTATTTCACTATTTGGAAAATTCTCCAGAGGACTTGGGTCTCAATTATTTATTAATCAATATTTGATTTATTACTTTCAATTGCCATCTGTATTTTTAACCAGTATTTTTAGTTGAGTCACATCTCACTCTTAAATATTATTTTTATAGAAAAATTCATATTTGGTTAGAATGTCTCTGAAAAAAAATTATTGGGGAACTCATGGGAGCCACCAAATTGTGGCTGTGAAGAAACATCCTGGAAACAGCGAAGGACCAGTCCTTGGTGCCTCTGCCAGCAAAAATGGAGCTTGGGAGGGCTGTGCATAGCTCTTGCGAACTCCATTTTTGCTAGCAGATGGTTGCAGGAGGCATTGAAGCCAAAAATACAGTTCAAAAGGTCGTTTTTGCTGGCAGAGCGCTTGGGCCACCACAGATGCCCCCCAGTGAAATTGAGCTGGCCAGGCCCACCATAACCATGCCCACAATGCCCCCCCAGGTCAAACACAACCCTGATGCAGCCCTCAATGAAATTGAATTTGACACTCCTGATTTAAAGAGATGTCCAATGGAATAAATGATCACAGCTCGGGAGAGAGGAGTGGTAGATGGGGAGGGGAAGTAGGGTAGAGGGGGATGATGGAGGGAAGATAGAAAGTTGGAGGGGG